GTGTGTGCGTGCGTGTGTGTGTGTGAGGGTTTGTTCAGAAGCTGCAGCTGAAGGCAGCGACAGAAGGCGACGACTCCACAGTTCGACTGGCTGCTCATCTCAGCCCGGCAAGTAAGTCCTCGTGTGTTTTCATGTTTTCCACAGAATCTGGTGTTTTTTTTAATCTCATTGTTTAAAGGCTGAAAAATATCATCTGTAATTATCACAGTTAGTTCGATTCATAACTGAGTTAATCACCGGAGCATTAATCTGCAGCTCTGGGAATCTTCTGTGACTGTTTCTACCTAAAATCCTTCGATTTGTTTGGATCTGAGGATTTATTTTAAAGCAAATAAACAGTTATTGTGATTTTGATGGATTCCATAAAGATCTCTTCAACTTGCTTTGAAAAGGTTTAAACATGATAATGTTAATGAATAATGATTCTCCCTCCTCTTTCTTCGTCCATCACATTTTATTTAAAGTGAATCTTGTTTCTTTCTGCTGCAGCTTCTGTTGTTTGGCTTCAAATTGATGTTTGGGGGTTTTTGTGGCTTAACAAAGAAAGAACAGTTCAGGGTTTATTCATCATATCTGGTGTTTCCTCACATGATGAACGATTAAAGTCTGAGCAGGTTTTGATTCTTTCATAACCTTCATCCTGAAACTTTCCCATCATCTGGAGCAGAAGGCTGTTTATTGGTTCGTTTGTAGCTCCATCGTTAATTTAATTTGAATTCCTGCATCAGCAGAAGTCCAGGTGTGCTTCTTTGTGGCTGTTTTGTTTTTATTTTTATTTTGTGTCTTTTTGTAGTTATTTTGTGAGTCATTGTAGTTGTTTTGTGTCACTTTGTAGCCCCTTTTGCATCTTCTTGTTGTCATTTTTCACCTCTCTGGTTACTTTGTGTTTATTTGTGGCTATTTTGTACATCTTTGTTGTTGTTTTTTTGTCTTCTTGTGATTGTTTTGTGCCTCTTTGTGGCTGTTTTCTGTCTCTTTGTGGCCATTTAATGTGTCTTTGTTGTTGTTTTGTGTATTTTTGTGGTAGGTTTGTGTCTTTTTGTAGTTATTTTTGTGTCTCTGTTGTTACTGTGTGTCTCTTTGTACTTGTTTTGTGTTATTTGTGTATCTCTTTTTGGTTGTTTGTGTCTATTTGTAGCTGTTTTATGTGTCTTTTTGTAGTTGTAATTGTTATTTTGTGTCTGTTTGTGGTCTCTTTGGTTCTCCTTGTTGTTGTTTTGTCTCT